CTGTTGCGGACAGCTGAAGCAGAACCATAATAACCATGCCAAATACCTGCTTCTACTCGGGAGGAATTCTTTTTCAGTTAGATAATGTATAGAGTTACTAAAATAGCAGGAAAATGTAAAGGCATAAGCTTTTCTTTTTAAATTTTGTTTTGCAGATTTATTTCTTCTTATTGGGAAGGCAAATTTAGAGAAAGAGAGAGAGATCGTCCATTTACTGGTTCACTCTTCAAATGGCCACAAAGGCTGGAGCTAGAAGGCAGGAGCCTCTTCCAGGTCACCCACACAGCTGCAGGATCCCAAGATTTTGGGCCATTGCCATCCTCCACTGCTTCCCCAGGCCACAAGCAAGGAGCTGAATGTGGAGTGGAGCAGCCGGGACACAAACAGGAACCTATAGGAATGCCAGTGCTTGGAGTTGGAAGCTTAGCCAGTCAAGCCATTGAGTCAGTTCCAAAAGTACAAAATTTTCTATTGCAAATTTGGGAGGACAGGGTATCTATGTGGAACATGGGTCATCAGAATGCAACTCACAAGCCGAATTCGGTTTACCACTTTCTGTTTTTAACAAGGCTTAATAGTGAGAATGATTTTCCACGTAAAATGATTGGGAAAATCAAAAGAAATATAATATTTAATAGGATGTAAAAAGTAAATGAAGTTCAAATTTCAATGCCCATAAAGTTTTATTGGAACACAGCCACACCCATTAGTTCACATACTTTCTATGACTGTTTTCACACTAAAAAGGAGAACTGAGTAGTTGAGACAGAGATCATATGATCTGCAAAGCATAAAACATTTATAACTTGATCCTTTAGATAATAGGTTTACCAACCCTTGATTTAAAGCCTACCAATGACATTTAAGAGCATCAGAGATGGGAAGATAACAGGAGCTTTGTGAAAATATCTCTGAGTTGCAGTCAGCCTCAGTCAGTTTCTTGACCAAAGATACTTGATCAAGGCTCTGTTGAAGCTACTAGCAGATTCTCCTAGCACAATCAATATGTTCATGGAAATGTTACTTGAAAAATCATGGAGTGAAGAGCATCCTGACAATCACCAAATATTCTCTGCAAGATTCCAAACAAGAAGCAGCATTCGATTCCACATGAGTTGAAGTGGGAAAGAGTAGACTTAGCAGACAGAAAGAGTTCAATGAGGGTTCACTTGCATGTCTTCTCTTGCAAAAATCTGGATCAAGGGAATGAATCAAAGCCATACTTATATAAAATTTGCCAAGGAGACTAAATTGGAAACCTATTGTAAACAGCAGTGAGTTCAGAATGTAAACCGCAGTTTCAGTTTTATGTGTACCAAATAGTGCTCCATGTGTACAAAAACAAATGGATGTACAATCTCCAATGTTTTACTAGAAAGTGTCTGAAAAAGAAGAGTAAATTCTTGAGCACATACATGATGAATTAATTAATCCTCTTTGAAACATGATGAGGTAGAGATGGGGTTTCATATCCTTATTTTCCAGATGAGAACATGGAAAAGAAGGGAAGTCATCCAGCAGTGGCCTCAAAGGAGCATCTTGAGAATCTTGGGTTTCAGTGCTGCCCACTCACAGTGTACCTCTCTTAATTGCACTAATCACATCTGAACATTGATTTTAAATTGATTAAGATCTGAGATTTGCCATCTGCTAGGAAGGCAAACCAAAGCACAGAGCTATAAATGCATGTTTGTTGAAACAATGGTTATGACGTTCATCAATTGTAGAATGGTCACAAAAAATCTGAACCTAAAATAGCATTTTAAAAAACATTCAGTGCAGACTACCTTATTTTATGTATTTAAAAAAAAAACAGGATCAAAGGAGGGAATTTCTTTTCTAAAAATATACAAATAAACTCTTAATACTTACTGTTACATACTGCAGTCATCTTCCTTTAACTTCTTGTGCTCTTGGCATCAAATATTTGCTCCTTCATCCCTTTATTCACCCCCACCTACTCCACAAGCCATTTCTTTCCCCTCATGCCTCTTTCCCACCAACAGACCATCCTCAATAATATTCACATTCTCATTCCATTCAACCATGCCCACTCCCCATGCACTCTCCTCCCATACTCGCACTCATTCTCTTCATTTTCTCTCGTCTAGGTTTTAGTGATGTCATCCCATGGTCTGATCCCATTGTGTTTTTTTTCTCAGAAAAATGCACAGAACTTTTCGTGGCTAGGGTCACCTGCACCACAACTCCAGTCATCACCGACAATGAGAAAGTATGGGTTGTATTTCCATTTTCCTCCTCAATAAAACAAAACCCTGGACCAGTTTATAATTGATCGTGGGTTGAACTGTGTACCAATGACAGCATTAAAGCTGCATGCTTCATGAATCATCAGAGCTAAAACTGAATTTTGGTCTGACATATCAGGCTTTTAAGTCTTGTACCTGTGCCCAGTTCAGAGATTCCTGAGTCATGAATGAAGTGATAATCAACACTGAATACTTTGCCTGAGTTAACTGACAACGGAAAGCCATGAGGAAGAGAAAGATTTGTGCTCGTATTCTGTCTCAGACAAGGTGACATTCAAAAGTTCAACAAGGCAGATTCAGAACCGCCTTCAGAAAGGCCATTGGGGGCACTAATGACGCATCGTAAACGTGGAAAGAAAAAAAGAAACAAGTCAATAAATGCTGTTGATAATACAGACCCTGCCTTCAAATATAGATAGAAACAGCAGTAAGCTGAAACATCCCCACCTTTAAAGATGGGAGGAGAATTTAAATACCCATATCCTTTCCTTTTTGCTTTATTGTTGTTTTTGTGTGTTTCTAAAAAGAAAGAAAGAAAATTCTCTTCCTCAAAGTGCTCAAAACCAGAATTTGGGTTCCAAAGACTGAGAGTCAAGGAGCTTAGATAGTTTTCCCTGCCTGATTTTTGAAAGGAATCCATCTTCATATTCAAAATAGTCAAAATAATTTGGCTCACAAAGACTTATCTTTTTGAAGAAAATACTATTGAGTTTCCTTCCTCTAAGTGACATTAGTCTGGAGCATCTTCTATCTTAATGGACTTCCAAAGTGTTCTGTATGTTGGGCAATTTTCCTTGCCAATACCCCATCTCTTTTATATTCTCTGATATCCCAAAAGTGGTGTTACAGCATAGCAACTCCCAGGTGGCCCCACCAGCTGTCCTTCCTGCTTTCATTTTTCATTGCTAACTTGGACAGAATCTCCCATGTTGCTTACATGATAGAACATAAAAATCTTCCCTTTCCACACTATGGTTGTGATCCTTTCCCTTGTTTTCCAAAATCAATTTGATGACCTAGATTTTTAAAACCTACAGCCAGTGTCAAGTATAATCTAATCTATCTGACTATTGAATTTACTTATGCACTTGCTTATTTGAATGCCATTTCCTGTCTGATATGGTTGCTATTACTGTGGTGTCTCAGCTTGCTTACCCGTGACTTCTAGAGGGCTTATCTGGTTCTTTCTCTGCTTCACAGACTGCTTGCTTAATGAAAACATATGGGGAAAGGAAAGGTCTCCACAGGGAAGCTTAGATAACCTGAAGTTTCCATAATTTCTCTTCACCATTTTTTTTTGTGGCAGATATCCTTTCTTACCTACTCCTGAAAGGGAGGCACTGCTCTCAGGCTGCTTAGGCCTAGAAACGGAGGCCCTGGAACTCAGATTAGCTCCCCATGAGCCAAATAGCACCATGGGCTGTTAGTGAAGTATGCAGCATATTTCTGGTAATTATCAAAAGGTACCTCGGTGCTTATTAGGGGACTGTGGAAAAAGACAAGAACTTTCTGTTTTACAGATGACCATAACTCAACTGAAATAATGTCACTATAATAATCATGATTTGTTATCAATAAGAAGCTGAAGAGCACTCATTTCCTGTCTTTTCTTCCAATGCAACACTCTGGAATGTCTGCAGTCTTTTAGTGGGTATCAGCACCTTTCTGATGAAAGATAGTTCTACATACCTGTCCTTTAAAACTCTCCTCAAAATTATTAGCCCTACATAAGAAGAGGCTCAATGCTTAGGTTCTAAGTTGGAACTCAGCACTTCCAGGCAAGTGAGTGGGAAGGGGAATTTCCTAAGGAGGAAGTAGCTCCTTTGTAGAAAGTGGAGACCAGGACTGCATATAGATATTTAACAAGGGACATGGTCAGAGGGAAGAAAACTTCTCTCCAGGAGTTGCTCATTGAGGAAGCCCTAGTACAGGTTGGGAGGCTTAGTCCCAAGGGTACTTAAGAAGGAAGTACTTGCATATACCATAGGTCTGGAAATAGAAGTTTTTGTTGTAGTATGTGAACTAGACACCTTTATAGATGTGTTCTACACCAAATAAAACTAAGAGGTCAGGGCTTTGAGCCCACTTAGTCTTATATATGATGGTATTTAAGTTCAGGGTTCTGGACCAATGGGCAGACATCTGCAGAGGAGAATAAAACTGTGTTTTCATTCTTCATCCTTTCCTGCATAGTAACTATTGATACATTAACACATGGGCAGCAACAGAAGGAAGCAGGTGCAAAGAATGATGGCTTGAGGAACAGCAAGAGCACATCTTTTGTGGGGTCAAGGTAGAGGTTTTTGCTAAGTAACAGTCTTGCAACCACAAAGAATCAGGTAGGAAACTCAAATTGAGTTTCCCTATGTCTGACTCCTCTAATGAGGGACATTTTCCCATTACCAGGCCATGGAATGGAGCATAAGCAGGGAGAGAGTGATTTTTTGTTTTTTCAAATCATTAATGTTTTCTTTCATTCTTAGGACCTACTGAGTCCCAAGCAGCAGCAATAGCCATCGTCATTGCCTATGTTATCTGTAAAACCAATGCACCTGAAGCTGGAATACCGTTAAGTTTGAAAATTTGCACTGACTTGTAAGTTACTTAAAAGGGCCCTGCCAATTGATCCTGTCCCTAAGATGATGAAATTGTAGGCATTGGAAGGTTGATGGTTTTTGCCAGAATGCAAATCAGAAAGGGAAATAAAAATGAGCGTATAAGACCATTTACCTTCGGCGGCTCTTTTGAAGAAGACCTTGCAGCTTCCACAAGTAAGAGCTCCGTAGTGACAGCCAGAAGCTTCATCTCCACAGATCAGGCAGGTCTTCTGTGGTGGGAAGTAATAGTCGATGGGCAAAACATGGTCCCTAGTAGTCTCCAAACTGGAAAGACACAACCCAGAAGGAAACAAAAAAAATGCAACATGTCAGTTTGGGGCAGAAATAGTAAGGCAGCAATCTGAGGTCTCAAATAGTAAATTGTATGCAGAAATTATTCAGTATGTCAATATCGAATTGGTGTGAAGCTGAATTTTCCTGGGAATTTAAAGGTGGACAAAGCACTTTTGGATCTGGCCTAAGAATTAGATAAATTCTCTGTGATTGGGCTATCTCACAGGCTCTTTGCAAGTGAGTGAATATAAGGTGAAGAAACTTGTGGTTAAGGTCTCTGAAGTAGTAGTTAGGCAATATTTTCAGAGCAATTAAATGGTATGACTTCAGCCTTATGACTACCTTATTCAAAGGGAGACCTATGGCCAAAGCAGACCAATTATCAAAGCAGTTTAATGTGTTCTTTATTAGCTTTTTAGCCTCATATTTCATATGTCAAAAGAGAGATATTTTCCCCTACTGAGTTGTTGCTGTGACAACAGTGGATAAAAGAGCTTTGGAATGAATACATAAGTGAAGATCATGATTGTGAAACCAGTCTTTATTGGCATACCCCTTGTGCCCTGCCACCCACGCTTCCACTTTCCTTGGAAATCTCTCTATACTGTAATAAAACAACAACAACAACAAAAAAAAAAACCCCTCTTCCTTGAATCTAAAACATAAAGTATCAAAGTCCCTATGTCTTAGAATCTTGTTGAGAAATGATGTATAGACACGGTGAATATCATTTTAACTACCATAAAAAATGGGCCTTTAAAATTATCGTATGATTTTTGGGCAAAGATTTTTGGGCAAAGTTTCAGAAGTCACCTAGTTAAATTGCCATATTTTGAATACTTCTTTCTTACTAAGGAAATGAGGAAAACAGGAGCCTGTTTGCCATGTTGGGTGATTTCAACGTCTTCTAACAAGTTTGTCAGACAAACCTACTTTTCTCCTATGTATTGTAGAGATGAAAATAGTTACATGCAGGAGGCTGTCATGATGATTTGGGCTTCAAATATAGTGCAAGCTCAACTTGCTTTCCATGACCCTGTTGTCTTCCAGATAGTTTGCCTTTACTGTCTATCAATGATTGCCGAGTTTCATGTTCAATATCTGTCACCGGAATTAAAAAAAAAAAAAACCCACATGGAAAGGTACCTGCCTCCCAACTGCTACGAACAGTCCTAAAAAGGCAAGAGCAAAGGCAGCTATATTTTATAAGCAGTTTATCTTCAATACACAAATATTGGTGATTATTCAAGTCCAATGTAAAATAGTACTCAAAAAGTTCTGATGGAATGCAAACCCAGAAGCTTGCTATATTGGCCTATCATTTTTCCACACAAGCTTTCCCTTTTTTACTGCAACTGAAAAGCCAGCAGCAGTCTGTTCACCAAGCCAAGGCCAGCCAAGTCATAAGTTATTCAGGAAAGGAGCCTACTCCTAATCTATAATTTAACCAAATGCTAAGAATGTTAATCATTTGGCTGTAATACTGATTTCCCTGATTTGATCATTATACATTTTATATATGTGTCAAAATATTGTACAATATAATTAAATAAAAATGTCATGTGAAAATTATATTTTTAAATGAAAACAACACTACTGGTTGCCTGGAGCCAGAATCAGAAGTAGGGATAGATTGTAAAGGGGTTCAACAGAACTTTAAGAAATGATAGAAATGGTCTGTGTCTAGACTGCGGTGGTGGTATGCCCATGTACATGGATCAATACTTCAACATTTCAAAGGAGCGCATTCTTTCATTATTTAGAGAAGACTTTACTGGTTCTGTAATCAAACCCACGTAGATAAGACCTTGCACATTTAATGCAGTGTAGAAAAAAACTTAAGTTTAATGTTTCCAGATCAATATGGCTGTTCATTTCTGTACACTGCCAACTCAACATAGTAAACTTGGACACTTTTCTCAAAGTTGACAGCACAGCTAAAATTTCCCAAAATTCAATTATATATACATATACATGTACACACACGCACACATATATATAATTTATATAGAAAGCTCAGCAATAGCAGTATATTATATATCAATGAATTTTATTGTATATAAATAATTTCTTATTCAACTTAATATTAGAAAATTGGAAAATATTTGCAAAACAATTTACATGGATATAAATTACACCTGCGTCCTCAGTTCCAAAAACAAGGATGACTTTGTTTCCCTTTTTAAACTAACACAAACCATTCAGATAAAATCAGAAGGACATGTGTTCGGGCACTCCATGTGCCAGAAAGCCCTTTGTTATCCCTTCAGTGCAGACAAGGAAATGGATTCTTAGAACAATTATGTAAACTTGTTTCAGATTCATGCACCTAGTAAGTGGCAATGCCAGGATTTCATGCTGAGTGAGCATGATTTCTTTTTTTTTTTTTTAAGGTTTATTTATTTTTATTACAAAATCAGATATACAGAGAGGAAGAGAGACAGAGAGGAAGATCTTCCCTCCAATGATTCACTCCCCAAGTGACCACAACGTCCAGTGCTGTGCCGATTCGAGGCCAGGAACCAGGAACTTCCTCCAGGTCTCCCACACTGGCGCAGGGTCCCAAGGCTTTGGGCCATCCTCGACTGCTTTCCCAGGCCACAAGCAGGGAGCTGCATGGGAAGTGGAGCTGCCGGGATTAGAACCGGCGCCCATATGGGATCCTGGTGCGTTCAAGGCGAGGACTTTAGCCACTAGGCCACGCAGCCGGGCCCGTGAGCATCATTTTAAGAAAGGATTCTTAACCACCCACAAATCATGTTCTGAGACTCAAACTAGAGGTTAGGTAAGTGGAGTCAGTTCAATCCTTAGCATTTAGCCCTATGGACTAGGCACAGCACTACATTCTGGAGATATAGTGGTGTTCAAGATATTGTGATTCACTCTTAGCAATACCATCTTGTAGAGAAGAAAGAAAGGAAGCATGACATGTGAAAGGACCCAGTGAATGATATGATAAAGCAGCACGGGGTCCGGCACCGTGGCCTAGCAGCTAAAGTCCTTGCCTTGAATGTGCTGGGATCCCATATGGGCACCAGTTCTAATCTTGGCAGCTCCAATCCCCATCCATCTCCCTGCTTGTGATCTGGGAAAGCAGTCGAGGACGGCCCAAAGCCTTGGGACCCTGCACCCATGTGCGAGACCCAGAAGAGGATCTGGGCTTCTGGCTTCGGATCGGATTAGCTCTGGCTGTTGCAGTCACTTGGGGAGTGATTCTTCGGATGGAAGATATTTCTCTGTCTCTCCTTCTCTTTGTATATCTGACTTTCCAATAAAAATAAATAAATCTGTAAAAAAAAAAATACGGTGCAGTCTGCTAGGGATAAAGAGATACATCAAAGAGTTGCTTTTTAAAGAGGCATGCATAGGAAAATGACATGATGATGATGCTGATTTTGTGGTTTGAAAATAAATTACAGATAAGCAAAATGAAAACACACAGAAAGTAAGTAAAAAGTCCTTTTCAAAAGTGTATTTAAAAAAAAGAAAAATAGGGGGTTGCTGTTCAATTGGTATAAAGTTTCAGTCGAACAAGGTAACAAAATTCTAGAGTTCTACTGTTTAACATTGTGACCACAGTTGATAACATGGGGTTGTGCACTTCAAATTTTGCTAGGAGAGTGTGTGCCTTTTTGTCAAGTGTTCTTCTTTTTAAAATCTTTTAAAGAAATATTTTCATCGATACCAGTATGAAGACATTTTGAAAATTTCGCGAAAAATATAATCAAAATGTAATTTGAAGTTGGTGTTAAAAAAGTAAATCCATATGCATTTTTTTTGCCTAACACGCATTCTCTATGGATTTTTGTAAGATTCCTCATATTTAAAGTATGGTTACTTGTTTTAAAAAGTCAAATTAACTAAATTTTCAGTAAGTAAAAACTGAAAAAAATCACCAATATTTTGTTTGATAGATAAGAGTTTAATAAAGTATATACCTTGTGTGAAAACTGACTGTAAGGGAGAAAGATGAGGAGGAATAATTCAGGAAATTTTGGAAACTAAATTTTTCACTTACTGAGCCTCACTATGAAGATCTGAGATAACTACTGACATCACCAGGCTAGTCTCCCCTCTCTCTCTCTAGCTCTGTCTCTCTGGCTGGAAAAATGTTATGGACAACACACACTCTGGTCTAATGTGTATAAACAACATGCCACAGTTCTTTCGTTGCTGTCGCTCATTTGTTTTGAAAGATGTATTTATTTATTTGAGAGTCAGTCACAGAGAGAAGGGAGGAGACACAGAGATTTACCATCCACTAGCTCCCTTGGCAGATGGACATTAATGACCAGAGCTTCCGCAGGCCAAAGCCAGAAGTCAGGAGCTTCATTTGAGTCAATCATGTGGTTTTTAGGTGATCAAACTTTTGGGCCATCTTCCATTGTTTTCCTAGTTTATCATCAGGGAGATGTGTTGAAGTGTAACAGCCAGGACATGAACCAGCACCCAAACGGGATGCTGGAGTTGCAGGCCTTGGTTCTACATGCTACCCCACAATGTCAGCCTCCTCCACACTGCAGTTCTGAATCATGGGTTGACCTTTGGGCATTAGAAATGAACATTCCAACTGTGGCCCTTGTTCTAGGCTTATGTTCTAGAGAAATTCCTGCAAGAGTTTATACCGGGAGGCATATACAAGAATGCTCACATTAGTTTTGTTTTTTAAAGCAGAAATTATGAATGCCCAGTGATGGGATAATGGATAAATAAAGTAGGCCATGTTAATTAACTAAAATACAATTGAGCAATGACAATGAACTGAATAATGATAGAGGTAAAGCTCAGATGCTAATGTATAAAAGACATCTCATAATAGCTCATTTGCAATATAATTCCATTGGATCAAATTCATTAAAAAAATTGACTAACAGACTATGAATAACAGTGGTTATCTATCAGGGGAGACTGGACATGAAGAGGAAGGAAGACACAAGTAAATCATTTCACAAATAAGTTAATTTTATGAATAAGATAAGTTAATAAATATT